TATTCCCCTGTGTGGGTTCTGGGGCCCTATTGTGGGGAAAACAAGAATAGACCCACTGCCTCCCCAAAAGCATGTCGTAAGAGTCGACTAACTGGGGAGCTTCCTTTGAAGTCGGAGTGCATCTGCCTGAGAGGCAAGGAACCAGCAGTCTGCATTCAAGAGAATCAGATCTGTAAAACTGATGCACATGCAACACTCAGGTTCTGGAACAGGACTGCAGTCCAGAAGTGGACGAACAACCAGAACTTTACTCCAGAATGTACAGCTGGTGAACGCAAAGAAGAAGATAGCTTTATTGCCAACCCTACAAAATGAATACCACAGCTGGGTGTCATGGCCACACCCTGATACCCTTACTTCCTAATAAGTATCTGGGAAATAACTTTGTGTTGTTTCACTTGCAGTATGTGAGATTCACCACCATGTGGGATGATTGACAGTATAATAATATGTTTTAATAAGTCAGATAAGCCATTATATCATAATGCTAAATTTGCACACAGATCAGTTATTGCAATATTTTATTTACTTTAATGTCAGTGAAACTTACACACAACCCCCCATAACTAATTTTTGTGCATTATTTATTTCATTTTTTTAGTTCTATTTCAGAACTGTCTAGACATCTGTACTGACTTTTTCAAATAGTAAAATGAAAAAATAGGAATAGGAATGATAAAATGTATATACTTAAAGAAGTCACAGCAAAATATTCCTTTAAAAAATAATTTTCAACTGAAGCGAATCTGGCTCTCCTTCGATCTTCCCCCACATATTATGGCGGCCAAACAAATATCCTAACAGGGCCTTAGTCCTATGCAAAATGCGGACTTCCTGCCGAGGAAAAATCGTGGCAAAACTAGGATCGGCTCTGAATAACGGGCCAATATTATCAAGGGCAAACAAATGCTCTAACAGGGTCTCAGCGATATGTTAATTGCGGATCTGTTTCTGTGACTATGTCGCACCGCCGACCGCATCCCTTGCGCAGCTCTGATGGGGGGCTAAACTAGATGGCTGGGACTCGCGAGCAGCAGCTACTACATCTCCTGCAACTTCCTCCAATTTATTTGCTTGTGAGTCCCAGGCATCTATCTAGTTTAGATCCCTATCCACGGCGCGGGGGATATTGTCGGCGGTGAGTTTATGGTTTTTGTTTGGCCGCTATAATATGTGGGGGAAGATCGAAGGAGAGCCGAAAATTATATTCTTTGACTCACGAGTCGTTTCTAATACTAGACCACTAATTATCTGTGTGAATGAGTCATATATAAGCCGATAAATATGTGGGGGAGGGGGGGGGGGGCCCTAAGCATAGAACTGGAAAGAAAACATGGTTGCAGAGTGTAAATATAAAAATTATTGTTCTGCTTTTTGTGTGTAGATTTTCTGACACTTAGCAACAATAAGGTACAGACAATGTGTGGCAGTGTTTATTGCCAGGCATATTTCTCCATATATCGTTAAGTGTATACGCAGATGAAATATATTAGTATATTTTTAGTTACTCATTCTTTCCATGACATTGAAGAAGCAGCCCCCACACTTTTTGGTTGTTCGTGATTTTACTAGGCAATTTTACGTTCAGCAGTTTGCCATTACTTTTTTTTTAAACGGTCGGCTATTGATATTACTGTCAGAACCATTGCAAGGCAGCCTGCTGCCAAATCGCCTGCAGCTGGGGTCAAAGCCATCACCTTGGCCTTATGAAGCACGATGGCAATGCCTAAGCTATTGGCACTAACACATCCGCATGTAATGAAGCACAAAAATTTCCAACTGAAAAACACTAACTACATAATTTCACTGTATGTGTTACCATGGAAATTTTAGGCTTTAGAGGACTGCAGTCCAGAAGTGGATGAGCAACCAGAACTTTCCGCCAGAGTTTAAAGCCGGTGTACACGAAGAAGAACTAAAATCATGTTATACAGTTATATGGTTATTTTCATCTTATGCATACAGTGCAGTGACTTCAGTCTGTTGCATCTATAAGTTTGTCATCTACAACTATTGTGGTAGAGTGCACAAAACCGACTAAACCCTTTTGTCTTGTAAATGCTTAAAAAAAAAATTTGCTAAACAAACCCATGGGAATTTCTGAAAAATATGTCCTTAAAAAAAAACTAGTTTACACAGGTAGCTAATAAATTGTTAAAATAATTTAACAAGTAAATTATTTCAAAAATTATAAACATGTTAAAAATGTTTATTTTGAAGTATATAAAGGAAATAATAAACAAGAAGAGAGTGAAGCATTAAATAAAATGCCCTCTTTCAGGGAGATTTATGAGGAAAATGTTGAGTCAACCTGGCTTTAAAAAAAAGCTATTGAATTTACAAGGAAACCCTTCTAATTGCTCTATTTAGTTAATACACTCACATCTAGGCCTCCTAAACACTATGAATATGTAGACAGAACAAATGGAATTTAACTACACTTGTACTTGTTTAAGAGCAGGTCACTGCAGAAGTGGTGATATACCAACATTTATGAGACTGTGTCTCTACCGGAAGTGATTAGATTTAGCCTTCTTGGGGCGGTAGGGTTAACAACTCAGTAAGAAAAGCAAAAGTAAAAACCCTTTTCCATGCTTTCGAGCAAAGAGGCAATGGGGGGGGGGGGGGGGGGGGGCTATTTCATCATTTTATAAACCAAAGGGTATTATAAGAGTGGTGTGGTCAGTATCAAACCAGCCACCTTTTCTCTCCAGGACATTTATTTGCTTTATTTAATGCTTGTCCATCTGGGAGATGAAATCACGAAAACAAAATCTCAGGCTCAATGGGAATTCAAACCTCTGACCACCAGGCTGACAGGGAAGCATAGTGGTCCAGGTTTGTGCTTTAGATGGGCGGGGTATGTTTCCTCCCTGCATATGGTATTTTGTTAGAATGGATACCAGAAATTTCTTTTTTTCACCTCTTGATATAGTTTCCCCATCTGGGTTCCAGAGCTCCATTTTGGGAGAAAAAAGAATTGACCCTCTGCCTCCCAACAAGCATGTCGTAGGATGTGACTAGGGGTACTTCCTTTAAAGTCAGAGTGCATCTTCCTGCGAGGCAAGGAAACAACGTTCTGCCTACAAATGTTCCAGATCTGTAAAACAAATTACACGCAGAACTTAAGTTCTGGAACAGAACCAAAGTCCAGAAGTGGTCGAGCAACCAGAATCTTTCTCTACAGTTTACAAGCAGTGAATGCTAAGAAGAAGATATACCTTAAAACTTTGATTAACCGTCACTCGTTAAACCATCAGTTTCTGTTGCCCATCATTGTCTAAAATAAAATGCATGAGTGTCAAGAGACAGACTTACATCACAGACTTACATCTTTAATATTGTCAACAGATTACTTTACACACACTACTGTACAGAGCTGGAAGTGACTGTACTGTATAATAGTGGACATGACTAATTGGCGGTGGAGTCACAAACCCATCACTACCAGTCCTTTTGTGTTACATACTGGTCTCAGTGGTGACAAGGTAGCCTGTATGTTCAAATGAATGTTTCGCTTCATAGTGCATACAGTATGTATGTATTCACTTTTAAAAGATTTTATTTTCATTTTCATCTCAGGCCCGCAATGACAACACATTACTAAACATTTGTTTTAAAATATTTCTGTTATCCATCTATTCAGTTGTCCATCACAGCCCTGGTCTGGATGGTGACGGTTAATCAAAGTTCTACTGTTCTTGAATCCGTAAATTTGAACAGTCCTGACTTACCGTTTAAAGTCAGTTTGCTAACAGACAACTTTGCACTGTTTTTAATTACAGTATGAATATCATACTATTAGAAAGTAGGGCTAGTAAGCTAGAAATTGGCACCAGTAAATGGTGCAGTTGATTTACAAAGTCCTGCAAAGGATATACAACTCACTTGTAACTTTCTTTAAACTCCACAATATTTTGGCAAGGTTATAAATCTTTGGACTTTACTAGTGAGCTTTTTTTTTAGTAGTTATTCATAATTCTGATCCCTATAAATATTTTATATGTGTTTTTCAGATAGTTGTACGTTAGTCAAGAAAACAGACATCACAAACAGGTAAAACATGACTGAGGACGAGGAGTTTGATTTGTCAGACTGGACAGTTGTTGATGAGGATATTAGTGACAGTGTTAATTCCTCGAAAAAAAGTCATACAGGGTCTAGAACCTACAGCAGAAGATATTCATCTGATGTCAGAGGGCTAGATAATAATGCAAAGCGTAAGTCGGTGAACAAGCTGGAGAACCGTTCTGCCACATCCACAAGAAATCAGTCATCAAAACAAAAAAGCAACAAAACTGATGTTGCTTCTAAAGATGTAGAAAAATCTGTGACATCCACTGGTGCACGTGAGGCTGGGAAAAATGAGACACAGCCTGTGGTTTCCAGTAGTAAAGTTAAAGCAAACAGCAATGTGGTTTCTAGTTGTATCGGTGAAGCAGGCGAGAATGAGACTTTAACTGGTGTAAGTACTGCTGACTCAGGCAAGAGTGATGAAGAAGCTACATCAAAAATTGCAGCACCCACAGGCGAGAGTTGTGAATCTTGCACTGGATCTCCTCCTGATGGAAAGATAACAGAGGACAGTCCAGCACCAAGTGGATGCAAAGCCACAAAAATTACATGTTCAGAAAATGTGTGCTTCTGCTACTCGTGATACACCAGCCGGCTTTGCAGTTAAGAAAGATTCTGTGCCTAGTGATCAAGAGAGTGGAAGTCAGAATCACAAAAGTCCTAAGCAACAAAATCATTGTAATAAAACTGAAGAAAATAACAAGGCTCCAAAAAGCCAGGTTCCAGGTGGCATATCCTCCACCCCTAAAGGATCTTTTGGAGCTGCCAAGGCAGCAGTGACAAAAACCAAAACACCACCAGCAGCTTTACCAGTATCTACTAAAACAACCACAGCTTCAGCAACAGCTAAGACCAGTGAGGTAGGCAGTAAACCTGGCACAAGTACTAGTACTACTGTGAAACGGATTATTCGCAGATTTCATAGAATGACGCAGACTGTGCCTACAGAGTACTCTAATAAACTGGTCCAGTGTTTGATAAAAATTCCATCCTTAGATGCACCTCCAAAATCTAATTGTCATTCAGAAGTGCAAGCTGTAGTAGAGAAGGCTGAAGAGGAAGTTTTCTTCCAGAAGGCTCTCCCAGACAACGTTCGACCAGAGATCTTTAAGGTCGTCTCAACTTTTGATGTGGATAATCCTGGCAGTCGTAATATTACCACAGGTAATGCTTTACACATTGTAATACTTCTTAACTCTTTACCAGTGGCGTAAGAAAAAAAGGTTGTTTTTATTACTGATATCCCAGTGTTTTCTACTTTTGGTAACCCAGTATAACTACAGTAAAACCACATTAACACGAATTTGCTTAAAAAAATAATTTTTGCTTAGCATGAAACAAAATTTAGTCTCAGAGTAATGTATTATTGTTATGTCCCTAGTTGGCATACATATTTTTTCAACACAAACTCTATTTTAGGTCTTTTTTTAAATAACAAATTCATACCAACATTGAGTTACCATTGTTAAGCATGGATAGACATTATCTAAAACCCATATACACAAAGTCATACATTTGAGAGATGAGATGCCTGAGAAAAGCCACCAACCTAACCATCCGAGATGGAATGAGTAATGATGCCATCAGACAGATTGTAGAAACAACACCTTGTACTAGATTTGAGAAACAACAGATCAAGTAGTTTTACCGTTTCATTAGAATACATCAAGGACAATCACATGCACTACATTTTCTTATCCACATATGGCTTAACAACATTAAAGACACTTTGCTCCTTCACTGCATGTCAGTGCCAGCCAGTGTACACTGGATCATAAATTATCCCCTCCCCCCCCCCCCCCAAATCAATTGTGTTGGGCAAAAAAAAGGTATAGACATTACATCATGTCTCCTCGTTTTGGGTTCCTGGACGCATGATGTAGAAGGCAACTGATTAAGGATATTTAATCAATTCTTTTCCAGTAGAAGACCACATATGACGTCACAGGACATTATAGTATTTTCTAGGATGGTAAGACCAGGTTTCCCAGCTATCTGTGTTTTTTGTTTCCCAGCTTTCTGTGTGTCTTCATATGTGTTGCCAAGGTTTTCATGCATTTCTTTTTCCGGCGTCTTATGTTCAGTCTTCATCACCATGAATTTTCTTGAATTAGCATCGATGCCTGACAAGAAGAGCAGCATTGCTTTCCTGCAATATTATAGCATTCTGCATAGAACCAAATGTGGCAACAATCATGCGAAAGTGTCATTGCTGACCAAAAGCCACCACTGATGGCGGTGTGGAAAGTTGGCCTGTCATCTGAACATACCGTTAAGGCAAGGAACATGGCTGGAAGAGCCGCACCTGCCTTACATACAGATTATTCTGTTTTTGTACTGCTGGTCTCATGAGTTGGCAAGCATTGAATTTTGCCAAGTAGAGCTGGGCATGTGGAAGAATACAACTGAAGTGGAGCAACTGCTTATGGGAGGTTTGTGCCAGTAAATTACTTATGAATCGTGCAGTGATCAGCGGAGAGAACACCAAACCCCTGTTGAAATTGATAAATATCTGTTAACAAGGCGGAAAAAACATGTGGGACAAGTGTTTCCACAACAGTGGGTATTTTATGGCACCTGTCACAAAACAGGTAAATGCTTTATTTTTTGCAGAAAAGCTGAGACGCTTTTTCCGCTCATTAGCAAAAACGTTAGACCTGATACAGCAGTAGTCTCTGGCGTGCGTACAGTGGAATTGAGAATATTCCTAGATTGATGCAACACACTGTCAATCACTCTGTCAGTTTTGTCGACCCCACCACAGGTGCGCATATGCAATACATCAAGTGCATGTGGAGATCGGCAAAGGAGAGAAAAAACTGGCAGAATAGGACCCACAGACATTTATTAGACTTTTACATATCTGAGTTTATATGGCGTAGGTGCGACCATTGTGGCAGACATTGTTGCAATCTGGCCACCGGAACAATAGTCTGTTGTCTCTGCTGCTGCCGCATTCCGGCCTCTCTCCAGATCTACTAACGTGTAAAAATTTTTCTGATTGTCAATTCGTGTACCCAGCAGTATGCATCTAGAATGATTGACCCTTTTTAGGGCCACCCCCAAAGTATCCCAATTGGCAATTTATTCTGCCAATAATTGCACACAGAGTTTCACACAAGCAAATTTCAAAACGACATCCTCCTTCCAAGCATAAAAACCAAACGAAAAACACAAAAACTGCTTACTCCTATTTGGACATAGAGTCCACAACACTCACACAAAAAAAGAATGCACAGCACAAAAAAACAGAGGCACAGAAACATGAAAACTGCATGGCAAATGAAATGCCATATTACTAAACTTTATGCTTGATCTACCACACCCTGAAATATTACTGCACTGTGACCTGTGAATTTTCCCTGTTTGTGGTGGGATTTTACGAAAGTACCCCCCAAAAAAAACTGTTAGTGTAGAACTGGTCATTTTAATCCTTGTATGCCCTTTGGTCATGTAAAACATGAACCTAATGTCTTATCCATAGAAACTTATTTGGCAAGTAACCTATTTACACTTGTACAGATAGATATCTGTGCTACTATATTTTGTAGCTCATACATAAAAAGATCAATGATGTGTCTAAATCATGGTCATTTTTACAAAATCATAGATCATTAGAGATATTGCAGTGACAAACTTACCAGCAAGCAACAACTTGAATGCAAGGACATTAAAATAACCACCAAATAACATAGGTTTATGCATCCCCCATAAGTCCAGCCTTGTGAGGTGAAGCTGGATATTAAGAAAATTTCTAAAGGAGAAATGAGGAAAACTAACAGACCCCTGAAAGCTGGGGAAGGGGGGGGGGGGGGGGGGGGGGGGGGGGAAGGGGGGGGGTGGAAAGGGGGGGGCTGCTGGTTCAAGTACAATCCGGAAAAAGCCCCCCCCCCCCAAGAGGCATCCAGAAAAAGTCCCCCCCCCCCCCCCCCCCCCCCGGCACCATTTTGACCAAGAAACACTATTCAAATTTTCAAAAAGGGGGAGGGGAATTACTGAAAACATTCTTTGCCAAAAAAAAAACAATAATTTTTCTAAATTGAACAGTTTTTTACCCTAAATATATTACAAAAGTAATCAGTAATCAAATTATCTAGTTTCCATATATGATGAACATCTTTACCATGCTTTAATACATCGCTTGGTATTCATACAATTTGTCACCAGTTCTTTGAAAAATCTGAATCTTGATGAACTTTAAAAACATGTTAGCAGCCAGTGAGAACTAAGTTTGTTTTGTATTTCCTGTTTTAGCATCTACTCTTATTGCATCTGCAGGCTCTTATGACTATGGAATCAGTTTTGGGCATATCACCGCAGCAGATATGGAGAAGAGCTTGTTTCGTGAAAATCTGCTTGCAAAATCTGCATATTACACAGTGTCCTTTAATAGACAGGATTTTGGGTAATTGATTTTGTTTGGTTAATTCACTGTTGTATTTTTAGATAATGTAAACAGGCTTTGTAATGGACAGTTTATGGCCTGGTAATTTTCACTGTTTCTTGTTAGTTGCATTATGTTGTTAGTTGCATACTTTTTTACATTAATGTATATAGGAGTGTTTATCTGCACCATGTACAGTTGTGCTCATCATAATCATGTCATAGTTATGTGATAAGTACTGACCAGTAAATAAAAGAGCACATTCATATTGTCTCAGGGTGTATAGGTTCTGTTTCAGACCGTTGAAAATATGGTGAGGTTGATCAGTCATAATCCAAAGAAGTTCAGAGAGTGGTGATTCTTTCTTCCATTTAATGAATGTTGACCAGTGGAAATTTATTAAATAATGCAAGCAGCTTACAGTAACAAAGGTTCTTCAAAGACAATAGTGCCATCAGGGCATGCATTTTTTTGGGAAAGGGCATGAGTTCCTGACAGATGTTCTGCAGTTGGGCCATGTGCATATTGTTGCAACCATAACAAATGTTCCACAGTTGGGTCATGTGCATATTGTTGCAACCATACAGATGAACCGTTGTCAAAGCATACATTTGGTAGCAAAAGAATTAGTTGGGAAAGTTCAAAAGGTTATTCATTAGAAATTGCAATATCAGAAGGTTTGTTTACTGCTGATACCAGGGATGTTGACCATCCGCTGAAAGGAGGAACCCATGGGAAGATATTTGAACCACTTGCTGCATTAACAGAGTGGAGGGTGATAGATTTCTACTCTGGATAGTGACAGGCAAGGAATCATTTTGTCACCACTTTAAGCTGAGCGTTCTGGATCACAAAAAGCCAACAATTTCAAGTTATGCGTTTCTGTTGGTAAGGTTATGCTGAGCGCATTTTGTTATTTACCGTAAAGGGCTACTGTTGGCAGACTTTAATGAATCTGGTGTCAACATCAACTCTGACTACCTACTACTTGGAAACACTAGGCAAGCTGCATAAAGCCATCAAGACCAAGCATCACTGCGTGTGCTTTCTCATGGTGTGATTTTGTTGCATGATAATGCACGCTGCTAAGATTGTGCAGGAAGCATTAAGTTAATTGCTTATCTTATACTGCATATCCCTATTTATGTTCAGTAGTTTGCCATTGCTTCTGAACGGTCAGTTTTCACTACCACTTTAAAAAAACAACGCAAATGTCTGCTGCCAAATCGCCTACAGCTGGGACTGAATCTGACACCCCAGCATTAGAGTGCATTAGTGCTTATTTTATAATAGAATGAAGGGGTCCATATCTAAATTTTAAAAAATATCATTAGTGAAAACAAGTTTGTGAAGACCTGCGTAAGGATCTTAAGGATGTGCCACTTTTCACAGTGAGGTATCAGATAAATCGGCATGCTGGACTCTGAGTGCTATATAACATAAAAAGTCAACTGAAAGCTCGACAGAGGGAATGCAAAAGATGACTGCAGTCACCCTCATTTATCTCATTGCTGTACCTTATTTTGTTTTAACATAACTAACACTGTAACATGATTAAAGAATCTATGAGAATGTGTTGTATTATTTCAGGGTTGTTGACTTATTTTTTGGTGAAGAAGAGCACTTTGTTACAGTACTGACACACATAAGAAAGATGAGGATTGGGCAGCGGCACCTGGTGGTTACCTACTGCAAAACCTTAAAGGAGACTGAGCGAGCTCCTGAGTGTCCAGTCTTTTCTGTTAAAGGTAATTTGTTTGGTCCAGTGTTTCCTAAAATTTTCTTAGTTGCAGCGCCTTTTTTCAATACAAATTTTTCCAGGGCGCCCTAACCTAAGTAAAAATATGACTATTCATAAGTAAGAGATAAAAACAAATAAAACTCGCATCTTCGTTATTGTTTTTCTTTATTAACATTAAATTGACAGTTAATGTGATGGATGAGTCTGTAAATCATGGCACATTTTCTCAAATCCTGGAATCAAAATGATTGCCAGCAGGGGATGGTGATTCTTCTTCTTTGTTTGCGCTTTAAAGGATACCTGGTTTGCTGAGCTGTGATTTAAACAGCTAGGCTGCAGTATCTGTACAACACATCCAGTTTCAACAAAACCCTGATTGGCTGGCTCTTTAAAAAAAAAATGAGACTAGTACAGGAAGGATAGTAATTTACTTATAGCATTCAGTTTCATGTTGTGATCTTTCTTGTTTGTCTCCCTTCTTTACTGGAATGTAGAGATACTATATTCTATTGGCATATTTCAAGTGGGCATTAGGTGTCCACAAGACTGTGATTAAGTGGATGGTGCTGCAGAATGAAGTATCTATCCATGCCTAGTAAGACTGAGTCAGTTGAAGACCTGGAGTGCATTGGAGAAATGATGGGCATACTTTTATTCTGGTTGCTGCTGCCTCTATCAGCATGGGAACTCTTTGTTGGACTCTGAAGAATTGTATCAACATTTGTGGGATTGTTCAGAATGCAGTGATGTCATTTCCAATTCCTTTCTTTAATTTGTATTCTTATACCACAGCATTGTGGCAGGTGAGATGTTTTGAAGCTAACCGACCCAGGACCACAATGATGATAAAGTTCTGCCACAGAACACCTGTCTTCTGTGATGATCCATATAAATGAAAATGTCCTATCAGAATATTCTTTTTACCGTTAACCAGCTGTAAACTCTGGCAGTAAGTTCTGCTTATTCATGCACTTTGGTCTTGAGGAAGTGGCAGTGTGTACTAAAAATACAGACACATGTAGCGGTGTTTCTTAACAAAGAGGGGAATAGCTGTAAAACTGACCCAGAAGAAAAATCATATTCACTATTCTCTTTATACCAGCTGACTGTTATCATTGTACGCTGTGTGTGAGGTATATATTTGGGCTATTCCTCATCAGAGTTTGACTTTTTAAATGACTGAAACAAGTCTACTTCTCAACTTTCTCCATTTAACTTTATATGAATCTGATAAACACCTGTTTTATTTAAATCTGTGGCTACTAAAGCCACAAATCATGTAGGCATGCAAGTAGAAGACTGCTTGGCAGCCAAATAGTTTTCAAACACTTAGTAACTTGGTAAACCTTGCAAACATACTATATTTTAGGCTTTTAACTCTTTAAGGCCCAAACAACGGTGTGAGCGTAGTTTGAGAAGTTCCGTTCTTCCCAAACAACGGTGTCATCGTCAATCGTGTGACTCTTACATTTTGCTTCGCACGCGCGTTCGTACTAGTTTCTAATGTTTGGAGGTACGAATAACCTATTCAGGGAAAGTCACTCTGCCGAAATCCTTTTAGTTTCATTTCTTGGACTAAACCACACGTGGATAATTTGAGAGAAAAAACATCAACATTTCTTTAACAGTTCATTTTCTAAGTTCGTTTTTGAGTGCACTGAATAGCAATGTTCTAACCACAAGAATAGGTCGTAGAATGCGTCTTTCTGCGGCCGAAGCTCTGAAATTGTTTCAGTCAGATGTTTTCAATTGTGATAATGATAATAAAAATTTAGATTTTTCGGAAAGTGATTCGGACGGTGAATTTTCACCAGTGAAGCTGAGCGATCAGCTGTTCGGAATCTAGCGATTCTGACGAGTTTATTACACAGACAATGTCCCATACTACCGTATTTATGGTGTAAGAGAAGGAAAGTGCTCTAAACAAAGAGATAGTACTATACTATGGCTAAGCTACATTGAAATCATCGCAGCTACAGTCTGTAAATAACTGTACAAAGTGAATAGTAAATAGTGTGTGTGTTATGGCTCATTTTTCTGCCATTTTTTGAAATTTTGCTTAGCACTTAGTGGGAACTAAGAGCCCCTGAGTGATAAACTAACCTTGAAAGTTATCATAACTTTAGAATATGTTAGGAAATTGAACAAACTTTGAAGTTTTGTTCTCAAATTTGGATATTTACTATTCTTGTGGCTGCAACACCATGGTAAGTGAAGAATTTTTGTGTGAAATGTTGTCCTTGTGAAATTAACACCTGCTGAATTCTTCCTTTCCACTAACTATAACAAAATCAAACAACACTTATCATCAGATTCAGAATGTACACTCATTTCTCTTTAAAAAAAATATATACTGTTATAGGGATTAGAAGTATATTAACATCTCTACAGCCTTTCTTGTACACCCATCCCTCTGCCATTTTTGTAAAGGGAAATGAATGTGGGCCAAGTCTGTCAAAATTCATGGGCCTGAAAGAGTTAACCATGTTTACAAATAAACTAATTGTCAACACGTATGATATTGAACACAAAGAATCAGGGAAGAAGTTTCAGTTGTCCAGTTCGCGTTTTTAGACTGGTCAGTAGTAAATTAAAAATCTGTACAAGTCAGTGCCGATTGGGTGGCCAGCTAATTACCAAATAGCACGTGTGATGCATTCCTTGGGGGAGTTAATGGGTGCCAGTAACACTCTGGTATTTTATTATGGAAAATAAATACTTACTTCTTTCTGTTTTCCAGCAACCATCATCTATAATCAAAACTTTGCCACAACAGACTTCATAGCCAATTCCAAAGGTATGAAAATATTTTGTATCTCATGTTATGTATCCATTTTTCACATTAGTATGTAAGTAGTTTGAAATGTTTTTGCAGGTACATGGATTTATTCTTCTACTTTCTATGTTTGTTCAGTCATAGTTTATTTTGTGTTTTTCCTTTTTCAGCGAACGGATACTTGGAAATAAAGCTTCTTGGGTATAAATGATAGTGTTTAAGTATTCTTATATGGTCCAAGCCGAGCTCACGACCTTTTCGCTCTGAGAAGCCACATTTTGACACTTCCAGTTGGTACCATTTCTCTGTAAAAGCCACCTTTGTGACTCGCTATAGAGACATGTTTGTGAGACGTATAGTTAACAGATTTAATTTCATCTACATCTGCTCAGACATTTAGCATGACAGGGGATGACCAGATTTACGACCAAGAGGGTGGTTTATTTATTATTATTTTTGTTGTAAATATCTTTGTTTAGAGAAATTTCAGCATCCTGTTTTACCTTTGTCTAAAGTGGTTACTAGCCCTCCTGTTTAGGCTATTCATTACAGTGGGTAATATGGTCATTACCGTGCCAGCCACTTTTATTGCCTAGAATGTTTCCTGGTTTTCACTTTATGCTAGGACAGCCGGGAACCTGGAAGCCAAGCCCATTTTATTTTTTAAATCAATTCTCGGGGGACACTATGCTGTTGTGTATTCTATCTACTCATAAAGTCCTATAGTTTAAGCCTGTAACCCAGAAAAAGCCAGTTTTCCTACTTTTAAGAGGTTTTGATAACATGAAGTCTTTGGGTGCTGGCCAGTACAACTGTGTAACATCCTTAGTGCTGGTTGCAACTGCATAGTATGTGGATGTGATGAGTATGCTCAAATTTACCCCAACGATTCAAAGAGATTATTGGGTGGAAAACAAAATCAAATTTTTGTTTTTTTGGTGGGCTTATTGTGATGTCATTAAATTTATGATGAAATCACTTTGCTCTCTGAGACTGTGTCAACAAAACGCCTGTTTTCTTGGTCAAAGAGGAGGAAAGGTAGTTATTTCTTTGCTCCTTTTATGTTTAGTCATTACTTCCCTTCCATTGACGCAAAATAATGATTCTGTGATATGAAAAATCCATCTTTTTAGTGATTTGGGAGCAGTGGTGACACAATAGCTGGCAGGCTTGCCTGGCTTCTTGGTGGTCACAAGTTTCAACCTGCTGGGTTTTTATGAAAACTGACCAGGATTCAAAATTTCTTCTGCTGCTGCTTCTTTTCCTCTAGTTTCTAAGGGTAGAGTTTCAGAGAATGAATTTTAAGGATGCACTCTTTTTTTTAACAAACTTAAAAAAAAATATGGTTGGTTTTAAATTTTTTGCAGTTTACAGAGCAAAGTGGTTAATTGCCAGTGCATATTGCCAGTGAGTGCTTAATTTATTGATGGAGGGTTGGGGTGGTTGGATCGGTACATTTGATGTGGCAGCCTGATATACTGTCTGTAGGAGACACTCAAGATAGGAACTGCTCATATTTGTGAAGCCATGTTACTATGTTGGCAGTTGCACAGGCTTATAAAACTGTGATCCGTACGTTTATTCTCAACAGTGTCTGTATAGTCCCATGTCAAGACAGGATTTTAGTTTATATATATTTTGTTTAATGAAAAACACTTGCTAGTGATTGTGCAACTCAATGTGACAGTTTGAAAGTACACTAACTTAGTGTCATTTTGTGCGGTGGTGACTAAGTTTTTTTTGTTCTGTATAATTGAAATTACGCTTATCTGCTGTCTTATATCACTTCTTCATTGCTGTCAGCGTTTGTTTAATTCATCAGTTATTGTGACTGTGAACAGAGTTTATTTGTCCAGTTATCATCAGTCAAACTCTGTGAAAATAAGTGATAACTGGTCAGACTGAAAATCAACCAAGTAATGATTAGCAACATTAAAATATGGGCAGAATATAATTGGTGTTAAAGATAACCTCTGACCAAACAGACAAAAACTGTTTAGTGTCTGTCATGTTGAATTAAGAATTGACATCACAGCACTCAGGAACTCCCATAAGCACTCTGTCCACATCTTCAGCAGCAAGTGAAGAGTTCCGATTATGATGACACCAGTAACTGATTGTATATCCTTCTCGCCTTTCCCTTGAGTGTTGAGCATCAGCCAGATTCCCTGGTAACTCCTCACAGTGACATTCTCCTCGGACCATAAAGATCTGTTTGTGGAAAGTGAGAAACTGTATTGGTAGAAGAATCACATGAAAATTGCCATGCATAGAGAGAAGGTAGAATAGTTTAGTCATCTTTTACAAACAAACATGGCCATCTTTGCCTTACATACGGTCGGTGAGAGCCATGATGGCGTGGCCGAGAGCCATGATGGTATGTGCTCTGTATGCTCACCTGCTGACCTCAAGGTCTTGGGTTTGTTTCTGCATCAAGTCAGATTTTTATTTGACGGATGAGCTTGGCTCCCAGGTCTACTTAGCCTAAAACAGATGCCAGGTAAAGTCCTGGGAAATAAAGGCAGCTGGTTTGATGTTGACCACATCACCCATTGAGTGCCAGTTGTTCAACAAAAATATGAGCTTAGCATCCTATGCTTGATACTCCATTGGCATAAAAAGGGTTCTTTATACTTTTTTACTTGTACTGACACAAGGGGGGTTATTTCAGCAAACTGTTGGAGATAAGAACAAAGCAGCACCGTTTTGTTACATTTGAGGCATCTGTTGTTAGTCTACATCAGTATAATTCAGGGCTTATGCATCACTTTATGTGTGAATATTTCAGCAACATATATTTCTTTCCTTGGGGTAGTGTCTAGAAACCATAGTTGTTTCAGGGTTCAGGAACTGAGAATTGCAAAGCATCACATTCATTTGAGGTTTGAACAACGGATCAACATCATGGCACACGTGTAGTAACCCATAAGTGCTTCGTTTTTCTTCTAACTCAAGTCTGAGTCCAAAGAAGCTCAGCACAGTGCACAGTCTCTGTAGCACCAGCGAGGATCCTGAAATACATTAGGTATATTTTTAACTTCAAATTTTGCCCGGGCAGCGCCGTTAGGCTACTCTTGTCTTCGATTTCCAACTTCCAAGGGATTTTTTTTACACTCACAACAATGCACACTGGCGTCTGATCTCACTACCCAGAGACCAGGAGGAATTACTAGAAGTCCAAGTTCACGTGGATAAATCCCAGCCCTTACCGGGGATTGAACCCGGAGTCTCTAGCACTCAAGGCAGACACCATGCCCCGAGACCACGCAACCCCCGAGCAACATATTCTTGATACAGCTTCAGCAGCATAGATTCTGGCTTTCACTTTAATGTGAAGGAAAAATGACCAGTGACATAATGTAATAAAATCTGTAGGTGGAGGTCTCCAAGATGAAGTTTTCGTGCCAATTGCATGTTCTGAAGGTCATGTATTTGGTTTCACATCATTTAATTCTGTGTGTGTTCTGGTGAAGAATGTCTGTCACCCTTAAGGTGAAGATAGGAGAGATTATTAGCAACTTTGGTAGCAGTCAGCAGAGCTACCTTGGGATGACTACTGCATCAGAGGAATGAGCACACATGGGACATGCCCGTTGACATCAGTTGTTGTAAACAGTTTACAAACCCATCTGTCCTTTTATTCTTCTTCTTCTTCACAATCACTGGCTGTTAACTCTTTTATAAAGTCTTGGTTGTTTGTTCTCTTCTACACTTTGGTCTTCGTCACATTAGTGAAAATCACTTCATTTTTTTTATATTTATTTATGGTCATACTGGCTTAGAGGTATAGCAACCATCCGTAGCAGAAGTGTACAGGTTGCATCCAGCTGAAGTGTACTGTAAATGTACTGGTTGTGAGAATGTTGAGACAACTAGGTTTTCTTAAGTGTTCAAATGTTTTTAGCATGTTGAAGGATCTCATCAAAATGTTGGAGATTTGATTAATATTGACGTAAACTGTGTTGAAAATCAAGTTGAGATTGTAAAAACTGCAGTTTTCAGTTATATCTAACAATGAGAAATTAAGTAGCAGAGACATGAGAATATGAAGCTAAACACAATCTACAGAAGATTAAAGTGGGAAATTTGTACAGATAGTACTATAGGTATCTTAAGCTAATGTACAGATAGTACTTTAGGTATCTTTAGCTTATGTACAGATAGTACTTTAGGTATCTTTAGCTAATGTACAGATAGTACTTTAGGTATCTTTAGCTAATGTACAGATAGTACTATAGGTATCTTTAGCTAATGTGCAGATAGTACTATAGGTATCTTTAGCTAATGTGCAGATAGTATTTTAGGTATCTTTAGCTAATGTACAGATATTATTTTAGGTATCTTTAGCTAATGAACAAATATTACTATAGGTATCTTTAGCTAATGAACAAATATTACTATAGGTATCTTTACCTTATGTACAGATAGTATTTTCGGTATCTTTAGCTAATGTACAGATAGTACTTTAGGTATCGTTAGCCAGTGTACAGAAAATACTTCTGGTGTCTTTACCTAAGAACAAGAGATTCTTCCTTGTATCTTATAGTATTCCAAATACACAGCAGAAACTCTAGCAATAGAGCAGGCTGTCAAAATGTTTCACATCAGTTCTGGCTGCCACCAAATGGTCATCTTCACAGATACGCTATCAGTGCTACAAGCCCGCAAGAGTGGTAAACTCCCTCATCTAATATCTGAAGTTGGCAAGGTGGCTGCCCAGTGCATATGTACTCTAGTGGGTGCCACCCCACTGTGGTATACCAGGAAACAAAACCATGGATAAATTTGCTAAGAAAGCGGCAGACTGTGAGCAGGAAGAGGATACATTTAGATACTTTGGAAAGAAAACAACATCCTGTCTATTGGAAGTGAACAGAGTCTGGCCAGAGATGATACCACTTACTTGACCAGCATAGGCAGCTCATCATTCCACACCTCAAGAAAGGGCATAACAAACTTTACAAGCATAATCACAAGCACAGGCTTCATCTAAGTAGTTTACCATTGCGCCCACGTGGGCT